GTCTGGTCCACACTCCATTATTTACAGACCGCCGTCATACAGCTGAAATATAGCATGAGCGCGGCATTAAACAAAACAAAACAAAACTAAACAAAACAACTGTTCAATGCGGAATTAAGCCCAACTCACTCACTCACACGGAAGAAATATGACACAGACGTGACGATACATATCTGTATGGTTCTACTCTACTTCGCGTAAATCTACCTGCAACGGACATCCCAGATAATAGGAAGGTGACACCTGCATTGTCTTGTAATCAACGTACCTCACCACCTCACCTGACCCCCCGCAGCGCCAGGTAGCACTTTGCTGTCTACTTACAAGTCCACTTGAATCATATGTCATGTCCAAGCGTAATATTAAGTAAGAACATATAGTGACGTGACATACACTAGATTGATGCATATCTTAGGTTTCGACACATAACCTGTCTGGTGGTAATAATAATAATGATATTATCTAACTATTGTTGCACTAATGATTGCGATGATATGAGGCTATTGTCTGTCACCTTGACTAATGAGGATGAGCCCTTGGGGTACTTTCATGATGGGAAAGGTGTCATCTTTGGCACAAGACACTTCATTCGGGGTGTACTACTTGAAGATTGTCTGTAGGCCTCAGTTGACACCGTTGGATCATTTGCATATGCAAATGAGTATATTAACATTCTGTTCGTTTGAGTTTTATAATATTTGAATTATTGAAAGTTAATTAAATTTGAGACATTAACGAGATGAAGCATTAATCTGCAGAAACAGATTTCCTTTGATCAAAAAGGCAAAGTGGTGATCAAATCACCTGTTTTGACAATTACTTATTTTGGTTTGTAACATATCAATAAATAAAACAAATTGTTAAAATATCTCTACAAAACAAAGAATAAATTTATACAGTATGCAATACTCAACATGCTGAACATGCAGACTGAAACAACTATTTAGCTAAACAATAATTTCCTAATTTACTTTGGCTAAAATCCAATATTAAATGAAGCACACTAACCCATAGCATCGTTTATGCTATCAATAAAGCACACGGTAGGTGGGCCATAAAGACAGATTTACAATTTGAGAACAATAATGGGTGTTATCTTGGTCTTTAGATAGCCCTAACTTTGTCTTTAAGTTGGATTTAAATCTGGATATATGAAAATGTTCATATGAGGTACACTATGCACCGGAGATACGTCACTACACATTTTATTGTGTATGTAATTGTATTATGAAGTAAATTTTTGTGGAGACATATTTTTTACAGTACGATTCCTTAGCTTTAGGATGATTAGATTTAAACTTGAATTAGACTTTGTTATTAAAAGAGTTAAATCGATACTAAAATATATACGTCGTATTTGAGAATTGTTTGTGTGATGAGACTTCATAACTTGATATATGCAACGAAATGGAAATCCTACAACACTGTGTCTTGCAACATATTGATTTATTTAAAACTATTTTCGCAATAATTGAGTTGAAATTTGGAAAGAAGAGGAAGGCTAAAAGATTTCAATTTTCAGTTGTTTTGCATATTTCATACATAATGTAGATCAACATGAATATATCGAGCATGGTACATTCTCACTGTCGTACAGGCTTAAGTTGTCATGGCTGAAGTTTAATAGTAATGTATCTTTCAATGGCATCTATGTTTTGTATTGTCCAGTAATTAACACATGACAAGTCCCTGTGGACATGTACTGTCACTTCTAGTGCTAAATGACCGACGGTCAGCTGGCTGTGATGTCATCATCCCCTGCTTGGTCTGTCTTGACCAAGGACGGACAGGCCGACTTGGACATGGGGCATATTTATGACAATGCATCTGCTTCCTGATTTCATCAGTTTGTTAGGCTCACCCTTGACACAGACATGTTGACGGTTGTCATGTACATGTATCGAGAGATGTCAATTTCAGAAGCTAATAATATGATATCAATCACTGATAGCACAATGTCTACAATCTGTCAATAATGACCTCATCGGCTGAGTATGAGAGTACATTGTATATTTTTATATTTCTCAGAAACAATTTGTCTAAGGTTAACGAAAACTGTGCTTTTGGGAGGAACTTTAATCTTGTTTCCATACACAACAACAATCACTTTCCCGTTTGACTATCAACAGGGCTTTGAGTCCAATTATTTAGAGCCAATAACTAACTATGGTTTCAATTTCTGTCATTCCGGAAGGAGCCGCCCGCCCACCACATAGTTTTATAAGCGTATCAGTAATTCAGTCAAAGTCTTTGTTTTGCAATCTAGCCTTGATGTTCCCTCAACAAGAACACAGGAAATTAAGTGATCATTTATAATAAAGAATACAATTTCTCAGAATCAGAGATTTCAATTTCAAAATGTATGTATGTATGTATGTATGTATGTATGTATGTATGTATGTATGTGTGTGTGTGTGTGTGTGTGTGTGTGTGTGTGTGTGTGTGTGTGTGTGTGTGTGTGTGTGTATTGCACACTTATATGAATAATAATCTCTCATATAATATGGACATAATAATCCATATCTCCTCTCTATTGATATAGAGATACTTCTCAGAGTATATATATATTTAAAAGTGGTGGAATTGCAGAAAATAATCCCAGTTCAATTTAATCGACAGTTTAACCTGATGGAAATACTAGGGCACAGTAGCAAAGACGCAACATACTTAAAAAGGAAAAGTATCAAACTAGCAATCGATATGAGTATGGGGTCAATTATGAACGCTCTGATGGCAGAGCGTCGTGACATGCACCTCTATCGGATCAGCTCATGTATTATGCTCCCTTAGTGACTGTATATGTCGAATATTCGGCTCGGCCACGCTGAATTAATCTAATATAAACACAAACAAAATATGTTCAACGAAGCCTGATTTGTTCTTTTTATGTAATAATAAAGTTAAGGATGCATTTTCTGTACAGATTTTGACATTGTTTATGTTCCGCCCCTCATGAATTTGAATATTCTGATGATTCAAATCAACAACGTGATGATTTTATTAAAATCGATCAAAAGTGATTGTAAATCTAACTTGTTATTAAAAAGATATTGATTGTAATTTGATACATTTAATCAATATTTATCGAAGTTAAAACTCATCAATTTAGTGGATGAAAAGAATCTTGAAAAAACAGGAATCATTAAAATAATTTGATAATGTTTACAATGAAAAAGAAAAACTAACACGAAAAGATTGTACTACGAATAGAAGAAAATAAACATTTAAACTACTGCAATGTAAGTGTTGACAAACATGATAAAATATTGAATAAAATAGGGCTTTTAAACATTAATGTTTCCGAAAAGAGCTCTTCACTAATCCTTTCTGAGAGACAACACACAGGGGATTCCGATGTACTTACGGTGAGATTCGTGAAGGAAATTCTAAACACATTATCGACTTTCCGTAGTCTGACATCAAAAATATGAAATATGAAATGAAATAAAAAAGGATAGGCCAGATATTCTACATCACGAAGTGAATTTTGAGTTGAAACTAAGATGTTTTTGTGCCACTTTGACGTTTCTTTCTCTCATGTGTTCAGATGCTAGTCCAATATTAATTCCATGATTTGGCAATCTTATTCCCTGAAGAATTGGAGAAAATCGCCTTTTCGTGAAGTAAAAAAGCAGTCAAGTGTCTTAGCTGATTCAAAGTGGCTCCCACCGTCAAGAGCTTGTCAAATCTTACAAATGCTAATAGCTTTGGTTGAGCGCATCAGCCCAGGTAGTTGACGATTGGTTATATTACTGCACATTTCAATTTCCTGAGGGAAAGGACCCAGTGCGAAAACCTAACCTTTTGGAACAATTGCGACAGAAAGGATAGATTTACACAATTCGCAAATCGTTTAAATTATTGAAGACTGCTCGCGCGAGGCAATGACAGGTATAGTATGGCTTCTTGAAGGAAAAACAGATTTCTTAATGGTTTCCAAGTCAAATTGACAGGGAACCTTTCCAGGGAGATTTTTTCCGTCTTATTCCCAATCTCTCATTACTATCGCGATGCTCTTTCGCTTATTTCACCACATTTCTGGCAATTTGGCAGTTTACCCTGCGGATATTTAGTCTAAAGGTTTGCTTTCAAGTACCTCGCGTGAACGTGGGCTCGCGAATCAAGCTCCATGAGGCATGCGTTTGGCTTCTTCTACCAAGGATGCGACCACATTACCAAATAAATTTGAAAGCTTTCATAGCTTCTGATCGAGGCAATTCATGATTTGTAAACAATATTCAATTAACCTTTAAACATTGTATAAATGGACTCACTTGTTCCACCCAATCGGACAAAATATGATAGTATTCCCTGTGCAAATTGGAGTTAAAAAAGCCAGCGCTTGCCTCTGTAGGCTTCAATGCTTTTAAACAATTGTTTATTCGTTCTAGGCGCCACACGTTTGGTCTTTATTCCTTCGTAGCTTTAGGCAGTGAGTGATAGTGAAATGTTTTTATACTTCCACTCCTGGGCTGACTTCCTCTCTCAATTCTTTCATCATCAGATTCAAACGACCACGCCCTCCAGTCGCACTCTCAACGTCCGTGCAAACAGCTTACTTTATACTTTAATAACGTCATGAAACACAAGTGATAATCAATTGTGTTGTTGAACCCCACCCCGTTAATCTCCACGTTTTTTTCTGATAATTTGACAATTAGAACAATATTGCACACATCCACTCGTCTCATCGACCGACACCGAGGTACCCCTTTCTAATGTGTATAAAATCTATTAATCGAGGTTTGTTGTTGGCCCCGGGCTGTTTCAATCCATGTGTTCATTATGGGGAACTGTTAACGTCACATTAATCAAATGTCATTTCACCATTTCTCTTTATTTACAGCTATCATGTGCGCTCTTCTCGCTTCAAGCGACAGGCGGGTATAGCTCAAGCCACGCCCCCTTCGACCCTACTCAAACCAAGGCTTCTGATTGGCTAGCGGCATGCACCCTCTGTTCCCCTGGTCCCATTCATAGATGACTGCCCGTGGAGCCACCGTCAATCTAACAGTATCTTCCCAAGTGTGCAATGTTGACCAATATCGGACACCACTTTAACTTTCAAAGTTTAAATGCTCAGATGAATCTTTTAGAAGCGTCTTACCCCCACAGTTATGCGGCATTGTCAGCGTTACAGAGCTACCCCCATTACAGCGGGCACCTACCAGGGGTGACAGGGCCTCCTTCTGATCAAATCGCAGCTTTGGATTGTAGCATAAACCAGGGGTATTATTCCACCGGCCCTGTCAAGTTCTCCGTGGATAGAATTCTTACAACAGGGGAGCCACGTTCACGAAGTTCTTCTCCTGTCGTCGACAAAGATGACCCCGGCAAACACGACTCCCCGCACAGCAGGGGTAAGTAACTCTTGACATTCAATCACAACGGTTATTGCTAACTATCTTTCACTGATCGGTGATTTGTTATTGAAACACTGATTGGTAATTGTTCATAGGTATGTATACACAGAAGGTCCTGATGGCCACATTTTGGTTTTTGTACGTTTTGATACAGTATGTATAGGTTATCATTATTGTTAGTGTTTTGAGTTAATAATAACACTACGCTATTAAAGTAGGTAACTTGTTTAATTCAACTGCATGAAGATGTCTTTTTGTGGTAAGGTTGCTTACATATGCATACTGCGTACTGTCAAATACGCATAAAATGAATCTGAGAAGAGCAGCTTTGTTCAAACCGTCGTTAATAACTGTCTTGTTCAAACGCCGGTAAGCTTTGTAACATATGCCATTGCAGGTTTTGATTTAATCATTTCGCCAAGGGGAATGATATTATAAAACATTAATCAAAATAAGTGAATGTGTAAATGATTCTGCATATGTATCTGTGTATACTATGCAGCCTTTTTAAGGAATATGAACAATATTCAACTATAGGAATAACATATTGATAAATCTGAATTATATTATCACCATTTTTATTGAAATAAATATACTTTTATATCTATAAATCTTTTGACTACTGGTCAGTTGGCTCATAAGTCACAGATATTAATGAAAACAACGGCCCCTCTGGTGCCTCAATTCCAATTTCCAGTTAAATTTAGATAAGTTTGTTTATGTAGATGTGGTCGAGATGACCATTTCTTCTACTCGTTACCTACAGAGATGGTCAGTAAATCAACAACACCCTTGTCTTACAACCATACTGGTTTGATTAAATGTTTTCAGTGAAATTATCTTATCTAATAAATACTGAAAACAAAATTGAAATTTTGATTAAGCGATCGAAGCGGGTTACAGACAGAGATTTTAAATCATTGAGAAGAATATATGTGTAGCCCTTCAGAATGCTTACACTATAAAATACATATTTTATTTTTATAACGTGTCGCATTTCCTTGCCGATGTTGCTTTTAACATGTACATGTCTCGTATCTTGGTCATAAACACGTCCCAAAACTAATTTTAAATGTAAAATGAAATTATTGTTTTTGAATATCAAGGGGGTACAAGTCACTTATGTGAACAGTTTACGATTGTTATTTCGCGATTGAGCAGACAGCAAATGAAAATAGCAGTTCTTATTAAAACTGTTCCATTTACAATGAAACAAAATGAAATTTAGTACCTTTAATTTCTTGTTATCCATAAACGCTATCTCTTTTGTTTTGAAAGCATGTGAAAAGAATGAATTTCTAAGGATGCTATTTCTTTGAATTGCCCCCAAAAGACCGATGTGCCTTCGGAGATCCAGACAAATTTGATGGAGTTGTTGAGTGATATATTTCCAGTTTGGTTCGGTACCGGATAATTTGTACGATTGTATCTTCTTCATCCCATAAATATTGTCCTTGCCCATCAACAATAACGCAGGCCCAGAGTACAAGGCACAGCATCCAAAAAGATTATTTCGTATTCCAACCGATCTATTTCCTAAAAAGTTATTACATGTATAACACGTGTGACGTTATTCAATTACAAGAAAACAAACATGTTTGTTACTTGAGTAGTGATTTAAAAGCTCATATGTTTATTTATTTATTTACACCCGTAGCGGCCGAGTCGTTTTCATGTTTTAGGTTATTCTTAGATGATAGTTCTTCGCACTGTACGTTCTAGTATTCTGCAAAGTAATCAAACGTTTTTATTGATTGATTGATATTTTATCCGAATAGAAACATAAACATTATTGCACATAAACGTAAGAACATAAACAAAATGTTATTGATATTATTATAATCGCCTTTTCGTTTAGAAATGTTCTATATAATTTTTATTATATGTTATTTAATTATTATTAGTCTTTTATTATCGATAGTTAATAAGAAAACCCGCTGAAGTGGGTGTGATTATATACGAAGTTTGACAACAATGAAACAAAAACAGACAGGACTGAAAATTAACAGTTATTAGTAAATTCCTTTAGCTTTCTCCTAAAAGAATATGACTTTATCTCTCAAGTATTGTCTCTTTCCATTAACAGGAACACATATACATTTCCTGAACACTGAGTGGGAATAATTCAAAGACTGAACCTTGATCAAATACACATGTTTTTGGATTGTTTAACTTCAAACCCAACAGTTTCACATTTGAATTTGTCAACGAGAAGCTTTGTTCAGGTATATAATATCACAGAATCAACAAAAGTTATGTGTTACACTTAGTTTGAATAGACAGCCCTGTAAGAATATTCTCAGCCCTTGAAAACATACTCATTTGTTTATATGATGTAAACATGCACGCCAGTTGAACAAACGCCACTTAAAGATTATTAGGATCGTGTTTTCTGTGAATGCATACATAACATGGTCACATATATTATTGTTATTGTTTTCACAGATTCAAAAGACGATGGAAAAGACAGCCAGTCTGTAAAACGACGCCGAACTCGCACAAATTTCACTGGCTGGCAGTTAGAAGAGCTGGAAAAGGCGTTTCAAGATAGCCACTACCCCGATGTTTTTATGCGTGAAGCTTTGGCTCTTAAACTAGATCTCGTGGAATCTCGTGTTCAGGTGCGTTAATTACATGTGGAAGTTTTTATTTCGATGTTACGTTTTGCTAGTTTCTGTTAATTATCGATCCTAAAATTGATCCCTCGGTATGTGTGTTTGAAAATGTGTTCTTAAAAGAAAGAACAAAGTGCTTGTTTTTCGATATAAAATCGGCTACACCAACAACGAAATTATGATTTGTTAACCTTCATCTGAAAGATAGAATCAAGTAAAAAATATTCAAGATAATAATAAAATGGAACGGATAATATATTTCATGATCAGCGCATTTTGCTGTCTTTATACCTGGCATGTAATTGTATCGCTGTTGACGCCAGATAGATATGTATGAGAATTTGAACAGATTAGCTAGAACTGAAATTATTACGTTTAACAAATGTAAATATTTCTTGATTCTATTTTCAAAGAAAACTGTTTTCATTTGAACATTACTATACAGAATAAATGTATTACTAACTTTCGAAAATATGTTAAAGGAATAAAATGCGTTACATCCACGTGAACTACAAATATGCTGACTTTGTTAAAACCCCTAATCAATGTTATGCAGTTAACCATAATTCTCTATTCGCTTAAAATTACTGTGACTAATGTAATTAACACGTAAAGGTTAAAGGTATTTAGAACGTTGTTTACATTGTATTAAGTCTAAATCCAATTAAAAAGAATTGAAATGAAGTTAAAGCAGTATCTATGTAAACCACCCACTGCCCCCGTGCCATCCACCCTATTTGTACCCCGGGCCCCCCAGGAAATACCTCCCTTAACTTACTAGTATCGTATAACGTCCACGGATTGTTTCACTCTAAATGTCTGGGGTGATTTTTAGTAGCAGGGCAACGCGTATTTCGAGAGAGATCCGAGCAAACACTTGTCAATTAGAATTAATTACATCGCGGGATGTGAGCTAATATCGCAGCGACCGGCGGACTACCTTACGTTAAGTCAGTAAAATAGCTTGTATTTGTATGTGGACTTTGACGGACTATAGCTGCCCTATGTCCACAAAGCGCGGACATCTCAACACAACCCTTTGTGTGTAGCTGCTACTTAAACACTTGTTCAGCGAGACAACGAATAGTTCAATTTAAGTCTTTATACATTCATATTCTTTCAATCCCCGTCTTAATGTCCCATCACGTAACTGACTTGCACCCCATCTTCTCATGTATGCGAGGCTCGCGCGTTTCTCGGGGGACGTTGTAGATGTTGGTAACGTTACGTCGTCACCGTGATGTCACACAACGCTGGTGTTTGTACCGCGCTGCCTTACACAACCCGTGTTTAGACTAACACATATTGTAGAAACATCTTCATCAGTTTTCAAACCATCCCCCGAGTCAGGAGGACAATGACTCATTGTGTAGTATTCACAAACCAAATGAGGTACACCTTTATTCCATATTTTACGCATGTCCCCCAAGTGACTCCAAAAATACGAACGGAATGAAATAATCGCTTTAGAAGTTAAGTTGCCCTTGATCGCCGACTGATACTCCAGCCAGAGTACGACCTATATCGTTTTGAAATTAAAGCCTCTTATCCCTAATACAGATAAAATACAACAGGGATTACATACGCTTTGAAATAGACTACTAGGATGCAGTCAGTTGATATACGGGGTTGTAAATATTCCTGGTTTAACAAAAGAACAAAATGCACCATTATCAACGACGAAAGTCCGATGTAACCCCGCTTCTTAAACACAAAGGTGGCTTTCATACATTATTGCTGTCGCTCCCTGAGCACCACTAACGTGTATGGTGAAAACTATTCACATCATATGTGTCATTGATAGCAGAATGATATATTAATCATCTGTCGTTTTGCTTTTTCATGGTTTTGAATGAGAAATATTACCGGCTCAGCGAACCGTGGTCGCACCAAGCGGGAGGCTGCGATAGTCTGGGTGCCCAAATTGTCACCATCTTAAATACAGCAATAATTTATTATCAATATTTATTTTTCGAACAAGTGACTAACTATGCTAGATTTTCTTAATTGATATTCTGTACCAAGACGTGCTAAGCCCCGACGAGCCTGACCCCAATTCTAGTGCAGCGCGCTGTGAATCTTCCCCATAATAAAGTCTTTACTACGGATGCTCCTCAACAGGCACTCTGTAAAACCTTTGAAGCAATTGTACAGCATTTCAATTTATGATTCCACTTTGCCGTCAGATAATAATTGATGCAATTATCTTTTTAAACACTCCACTTTCCTCGGCGTCAGATAATATCTTAAAAGTTAGCTAATGCTCTGTGATGGCGGTAATTGATATTTCTTTGAGGTTGAGGTACACCCGAATTTCTAACTATGGAAATCCGCTTAACCAGTCCTCAGTGATAGGCTACTCAACTAAAATTACCCTTTCGACATAAAAGCGTGACTTTTAGCTCAGTTACAACGTGATATTCAATTACCCTGGGATAGGTTTAGATAGTAATGAATATAGGTATATATTCTCGTCTTTATCTCTGGTAGTCTCGGCGTATTGGGCTCCGTAAGGGTGGGACCAAATCCCACCGAGGCGCGGCAATTTTAAGATCTTAGTGGACACGTTTTAGGATCTACTCGGCGTGATGAAGTACAATAACCGCCCGGCCCTTGTAACTGATATCACTGTGCCACCGACGTCCTGTCATAATTCGCGGTTAGGGGACCATACATCACGGTTAACAAGGCCCTACCCCGGTCGGGTGCTTGACTAGCAAGACAGGCTATTATTATGACCACCCTATTGACGTTGTCTCGTTAACACGAATTACTTGCAAATAAGCATAGGGTTGGTGAAACCTTATTTTAATGTATTTACCGATATTATTAAGAATTAGACGACTTTAAGATATGAAATTTGAACCAGGCGTCAATCCATCCATCAAGTCTTACAAGGTGGACACAACAGGACCCTGGTCAGTAGAATTATACCGGACGCTCTGTAATCACAGGCTGGGTGTGTAGTGTTTTTTTATGTTGTGGTCGAGATTATCAGTGAATGATAGGAGTCATTCAAGGCTGAAATTATGTTAACCAATCTTTTAATTACCTGAATATAATTCCACAGCTAATTAACCTTTTCCGGAAATTAGGGTCGAACATGATAATAACCTATCGTGTATAATTGACTTGATTAAACGAAGCAAATACAGTTAGGAAGTTAGCACCGCGGACGATCAGGGCGTTCCGAGTTGCTAGCCGACGTTGTTGGTGGAGCAGAATAAACAAAGTCATACATTGATTTGTCAGACGTCTTCTTGTTAAAAGGAGAAAATGTTTTCAACTTGGAGTAATATTTGCCCAATACGACCCCGATTCGCAACTTAAAAAGACCATTTATTGGAAAATCAGAAATTATCGTGACCATAGAATCTCCCCTGCGATTAAGAATGGCAGACAATTGGCTTTGAGAGCTTCGGTTTCATAGCACGGCAGTGTCAAATCAATTACTGAGAGTATCAAATGAGTAATCATTTAATTGGCTTCTCACAACGGCTTTGTTGTGTATCAGCGTCTATGATAAAGACACGGTTCGAATTGATAATTGTTCCGTGTAGTTCAAACAGGAAACACGGTAATGCGCATCCGCTGAGGCGACCGAGGGCGCAAAGATCGATGGGACACGGCGCGTGCAGCGATCGTGTCGTCTGCTTGAGTTCTGCTACTTACTAACTCAAGAAGCGGGCAGAAATTGAATGAAAACATTGCTGCTGCTAAACATTACAAGTCTGGTAGCTCTCTGATCAACTCTAGTGTTTATTATGTCTATTAAAGCGCGGGCTTGAGTTACGTTGTAAAAATTAAAACTGCAACGAATTACGATGAAGGATCTCGCGAGATATCGATCAAAATCTCGAGCACACATTAAGGGATTTAGGAGTCGGGGCTGACTGGTTGCCGTTTGTTTGGAAACAAGGCCGTGATCGGCGTAAATGATCTTTCTAAATACGTCATTAAAAGCTAGAAAATCAGATTAATCTTCTCCTCGAATCAACAAAGTGGCTAACGGTGGCTGGACAGAGAGAGTTGTCCAATATCCCATACGTTTTCTAAACATCTCACTAAATACAGTCAATGAAATCTATAGGAGAAAATAGAACTGAGGTACATTTATATCTGTGTAATTAGTTATAAGATATAGTGGTACTTAAAACGCAATTAAAGAAGCCTTACGGGTAGTTCACCGAGTGTAAACGAGAACATAACTGTGCCTGGAGCACGTTTTGTATTCAGTTGACAGTCAATGACTATATTATTGGTTTTGATGAAATCATCAATATGGTACTATCGTGTTTGTTATACGTACAAATGAAGCTTAAATTTGATAACGTATGATTTTTGCTTTGAATTAACATAAAATGTACTTTGTCTAAACTTTCGTTACTTGATTTTAGGTTTGGTTCCAAAACAGACGAGCAAAATGGCGAAAGAAGGAAAACACGAAAAAAGGTCCTGGACGCCCAGCTCACAACGCGCAGCCGCAAACATGCAGCGGGGAGCCGATGGACCCAGAAGAAGTGAAACGAAGAGAACAAGAGCGTGCGGAGAAGAAGAGAAGGAAACAGGAAGATCGTCTTCGCAGACTCGAAGAGAAGAGGCGAGTTTCCGGTGATGGAAAGGTTAAACTGTCCCTCTTGTCACTGTCTGACTTGTCCAGCTCCGCCAGTGACGGCCCGTACAGTTCGTCACTTTTATCACCCAATACCCGACCAGATACCGGAAGTGACGACAGCAATCATGGCCAACCGGAGAAGCGGAAGTGCCCTTTCAGTATAGACAGTCTTCTAGAAACGCCTAAAGTGCCGCGTGGTCGAAGACCGAATTCAAAATACCCACGTGTACAAGCATGTAAATCATTAGGACCTTTAGCTCTTGGCATGATGCCACTGTTTCCTATAACACAACCAATAGGATTTGTGGTTGAACAGCTCTCCGAAGACGAAGAATATGATGGTGATAGTGACACGAATATGCCACACAACCTGAGTTTTAAAGAATCAAGAGACAATGATAAGACTCCAGAGGAGAAGAACACTGTGAAATCGGAGGAAGAAAGTGCTTGTGTTCAGGTGCAGCAAATAAAAGAAGAAGAGGTACCCGAGGAACATATCGATGTCCTCGAATGTTCATGAGACGAGGATGAGGAAGAAGCATTGGATGAAGTGTTTGATGAAGACGTTAAGGAGGAAGAGAAGTGTGACAGCAGTCAGTAGATAGTAGCTGACCGAGTAGCTGTACCTGTTAGTCTGTGATGCATGAACCTGATGAAACTAATACTAGGGTTCATTATAGTTCAAAACGTTTAGGCGAGTTTCTTTTGTCGAACTGAGTTTGAGCAGCTGTAAACATGTATGTGAAACTGAAAAGACAGTGTTGACTTATCACAGAAAGAGTTTGGATGGAAACGAAACATAAATCCCAGATAACACTTCCATTTATAAGCTGTGATCACCATCGTATACTGTTTAAGTATTTAAAGAAATTACAGATGAATTACATGTTTGTTACATTAAAGACAAATGTCTTTTTGTAGATCAATATGTCCAAATCTGTGAAACAGATGTGATAGAAATGTGAAGATTTTGGTACGTAGAGCCTGAATTTCATACTCAGTAAATGGCAACGACAAGCTGTCGCCTTGAAGGTTCAGCGATACCCAACGTGAAGTGCCACTTTGTGAAACTGTGTGGGTGAAACCAGTGCACCTGTGTGAATGCTGGGGTAAACATGAGCGTATGAATGTGATGTTTGTGGTGTTTAGTTGAGTATTTGTTGAGAATGTGCCATAGTAGCGAATACGTTGATACTAGACTGTGCTCGAGTCTATATTGGTCACAATAAAACCATATTACATTAAGCTATGTGTATGTTATGTTTATGGCGTTACGATGTTGACGGATGTGTGTGTTGTTGTCGACATAGACTCCAGACACGACGAAGAAATATTTGTTTTACTTTGACGTCGTTGTGGAAAGTTGAATTTGTTTTATCACAGTCTGATCGTCAAAGAACCACCTCGCAGTATTTCTGCTGCGAGAGATAGTGTTATTCGGTTTGTCGAGCTGAACTTTCCCGTTCTCTCTCTACATGTATGTCTTTCCAACCTTTCTCTGTGTCTTAATCAATCTGAAGTATCTCCCTTGCTTGCCCTTTAGCCATGAAGTTGGGGAATAATCACATAGATTATGATTGTTAAACATATCCAAGGCTTTTGTTTATTGTGCTGCATTTCTTTTGCCACTTATTATGGTCATTTTCAGTCAATTTTAATCCGATAAATCGCTAGCAATAGTCCAAAAAGCTATCTGCTAGCCGCCATTTTGGGAAGAGGGAGTGTTCATTGTTTCGAAATGTTTTGTATTATTCTAAAATTATGTATTTCTTGTCTTTTCATGAACCTGTAAATTACTGTTTATGAAAATTATAGGTGTGTAATGAATGGCAATACTAAAGATTTAAGGGGAAACGCTGAAAATAGTATGTCAAAGTTTATGTACTGCGCATGCGCACAAGATTTGAGGTGCCTCCATATCTGAAATTATTTCAGACACGTTCTTTTATATGATGACCAATTTTGGTGTTTTTATCATCAAATGCAAAATTCTTATGAAAACTTGATCTTAGCCGTTCCACTCTCTCTCTCTTGCTCCCTCTCTTCCCCTCCTTCCTCTCTATCCTCTATTGTGATAAATTCATTTCGGGCAATGTAGCATTTTTCTTCAATAAGCCTTTTGCGTTTTATAATATCTTAACTGTACACGATTTCACGAGGGAACACATCGGTGAACAGCATTATCCAGAACAGAACAGAGTTTTATTCTCGTAAATCACGTACGGTGATATAGAGCATACATATATACATGGTAAAATTTACATTGGATCGTATTGTTTCTAATGAAACATTGCTAGACCAGCTTTTATATGTATGGCCATTTTGATACTTATATACAGGCTTACTGAATTGTCATCGTGCCGTGTGTGCCTTTAGTCTTGTTCACCAACGCATTGATGATACCGAACAAATTAAGTTATATATCCATCGGCTATAACAACCACGACAAGTTATATATCCTTCAGCGAGGAATGTTGTCATTACAATAATTATATGTAAAGTGGGTAATAACAGAGAAGGCAGATATCTGCATTTTCATGCATTTCATAGTTTACATACACATGTATATATACTTCTCATCATTTGGTTGTAGTCACTCTTTGCTTGTGTAAGAATCTACATCGAAACGTTGCTCTATGCAATAAACAAGAAGTTGTCATCTATAAAGTTGTATTTTTCATTTTTGACTCACCAACTTCTTAAATGCCGATCAAACAATTACATGCACATTTTTCACCTTATCTGACAATTATGAGATTAATAGCTGTGTATTCATTTCCTTACATTTGACATGAAATATGTTTATTATTAGAATAGTTACCTGTCTCAGGTCATCAGCACATTTGGTGTTATGCTCTGCGTTTTGGTCCACTATTATATTGTAAAAGTACACCTCTGAAAAATCACAGCCGTTAAAACAGACAGGAGGATATGGATTCTCAAACTGTTTCGAAAAAGTTATGTTCATTCTTAATCTGAAACCTAACACTAATCGATTGATTTAAGTTATCGAGTGGCGTTCTTTGTGATTCACACATTATTTGATAATCGCCTCTACGCGTACATCACGGTGACATTATCGGACTAAGACCATGTACGTCCCAACTGATGATCAATCTATTTGTCTAGGCAGGTAATAAATATGGAATGCGGTGTGACACAGTGTACTGTTAAAAACACTGAAACTGCTGAAACAATCATGACAAAGCTTCATACAGAGACACGGTATTTTGATGACATGCATTTATCGTCTTGTCGAATGAGCTGTTGAAGTCAAAATTAAATTGATATGATATCCATCCCCACCACGAAAACAACAACAACAACTAAACATTTTCACAAAACTGACTTACTGACTGAGTATGGTTTTACGCCGTTTTTTGCAATATTCCAGCAATATCACGACGGGTGCCACCAGAAATGGGCTTCACAAATTGTACCCATGTGGGGAATCGAACCCGGGCCTTCGGCGTGACGAGCGAACGCTTTAACCACTAGGCTACCCCACCGCCCCCAGTTTCACAAAAAGTAAAGAACAACATACACAACAACTAAACAATTTAATGTTAAAGTCAAAAAGGTGAGGATTCTATCACGATGTTAAAGCTGTATATATGGTGTCCAGTTAAGTTAATCTCGATGGAGCATTATTGATTATTGATTGGAAAAGCTAGCAACAATTTAATTACTGGTCAAGTTTTTGTTGTTGTGTTTGTTGTTTCACGTAACAGCTAATGTAAACTGTCGAGTCGAACTATTCAAGTGATTTGTATTCGATCATCGATCTACGTCATTGGGATACGTTGACTAGCATCAAACATCAACCAGGACAGCCAAGCCTGACCATCCGACCCCGTATCTTACGACAAGTATGGTTTGGTGAAAACCAATTCCAACCTGAATATTCACGATGCGTTTTATTACAGGTAACCAAACAAGAATATTCTTCGAATTAATAAGTACCCCATGTAAGTTTGTTCCAGTGTTTCACTTGTGTGTGTGTGTGTGTGTGTGTGTGTGTGTGTGTGTGTGTGTGTGTGTGTGTTTATGTGTGCGTGTGCACACGAGTGTTTGTATGTGTGCATTATTTTCTTTCATCAAACCGTTCATATAATATGAAATTTATCTATTACTTTAAACAGATGTAAGAACAGATTGTTTAACCGACAGGAATGATAAAAAACAAAACCCTAGTTCACAAACACATTTTTCCTACATTTAAAAATGTAGAACGCAGACCGATTAAAGCCCACCTGGCAGAGTTACCTTCACTGATGAAATATTTCATTTGATTCACTCACTCTGTCAAATTATATGTTTGAATTCCAGACGCAATTACATTGCCATTATCGTAATCATCATTAATTTCTGGACACAAATGTCACTCTGTGTATAGCACAGAGGATTCCCGTGATGGATCATACCTATATCAAGACGTTTTACTAATATCAAGATACATCACGTCGGAGAGTTTGTAACACTAGACTGGCAAAGAATGAAAGATCAAATACATCTCCTCGACACAGCCCCAGGCTTACTGTAACTTGGTTTGGTGTTATGAGCAGATGAGTCAATTTGAATGTTTTGTGTGTGACGATGTAAGCGTTAAGTTCTCGAGGGAAATAAAATTGATAACCGGATGAAAGGAGTGTTGGGGTTTTAGAGAAGGGTTGGGGGAGGTATTTGAGGGAGAAAGTTCTTATGTTAATTCGATGAAAGTAGTGTTTCAATTTTACAACTGAATATGTTTACTATACTTTTATAGTGTCACTCTAGGTATATGTATAGTCATAGGAATACTTTGTAGACATTTGGAGTTTTGTTGCTCAGTGACAAAATAATCTTCAAACTTGATTGAATCATGATTGTTCTGTTACGGATAGTTGTCGTTACATCTGTAAATAGTATCGCACTCCCGAGTAATTCTATATAGGAATGGCGTTGTTCTTCGTTCAAGGGACAGTGTTGCAGTCTAGTGGTTTATGCTATCGATCGTCACATCGAAGACCAAGGTTCGAGTAGTCACTGGGGTACGGTGTATGTTGCCTAGTGTTCCCTCGTCGACATATCGCTGAAATAGTGATGTGTTAGACACTTCTCACTTGCTCAAGGGTCTGGGTGGTCCATTACTTTATTGTACCTACCAGGAGTTGCCTACCAGGAACCACTGTCACGGGTTTGAATCTGGTACACCCTGCCTTCCATGAGCTTGTATCGTCACAGTATTTGTATCAAGCATTGATGTCGCGTATACTATGAAACTATGACATGTGCAAGCACACACGTTTTATCAAGCATTGATGTTGCATATGCTATGAAACTTACGACATGTACAAGCACAAACATTTTATCAAGCATCGATGTCGCGTATACTATAAAACTTACGACATGTGCAAGCACAAACAAACGCCTACATACATCTCATATTGTAAGACGACTTGCTGTACCACTGATTGTAATTCTTCCTTCCACCCGTACAAGGGCAGTCTTAAACTTCACCCTTGTGGATTCAGCAGCAGGACTGCCCAGTTTCCTTCCCCACCACTTACATATAAACAACTTAAGATTAAGATCAAATCACCCCGTATTTATCACATTGGTGTAATAGATGCTTGTCTAAAGCCATATAAGGGGCAGTGGGGTAGCATAGTGGTTGAAGCGTTCGCTCGTCACGCCGAAGACCCGGGTTCGATTCCCCACATGGGTACAATGTGTGAAGCCAATTCCTGGTGACCCCGCCGTGATATTGCTGGAATATTGCTAACTTTTTGCATAAAACTAAACTCATTCACTCATCATTGCAGGCTAACTTGTCCCTCTTACACCTAACGATAACATCATATTATACAATTTCATTATGCAAATTAGACATATGGGTGTTTGATAGTAAACATAGTGTATTATTCACTGAGTGCCAGTGGTGGGGAAGAATACACTAACCTTGGTTTTATAAATTATTTGATGTTCATTTATAAACACATGCTTACGATACAGTCAGAACTATGCAATCGATTGTGCTTTCATCAGAAACAGGTAATGAACATGAAAGAGTTTTGTCGCTGTTATTCAAATCAGAGAGTTGATTTTTTTTCAGAGCATGTACGAAAGTACAAAAATGCATTAAAAATATCTGTGATGATATGTTAATCTTTAGTGTTAAATTTAACTCACGTACTTACTTATATGCGCCTCCGTGGTGTAGTAGTTAGAGAGTCCGCCTGGAGAGCGGAAGGTCGCGGGTTCGA